TTTTTTATACAGCTATACCACCATAGCCACCATCACGATCCCGTCTGGATATCCAGGATAGCCTTCGAAAGGATAGCCTTCGAAAGGATGCATATGGCCTTCCAGGCGAGGTTCTTCAGACCTGTCGCTCTCGATTTCAAAAGGTTGCACAGGCCAACAGGGTAGAATAGAAGTTCGGGAAGGAAGTAGGCCGTAGATGCCGGTCGGAGTACGACCAATCTGGTAATTGGCGCACACCGCCCGATCTCACCGCCCCCGGTTCTGCGACGCCTGCCAACCGCGTCCGGCGCAACTCAGGAGGCGACAATTGCAATCAATCAGCGTTCATTTTTTCACCAGTCGCTGCGCTTTCGTACCGACAGGGTCAGAGGTGAGCCAAGTGCTCTCCGCACGGCACATCGAGTCTGGAGTGCCACACGGCGGCCTCTCTTCAATCCCGACACATGATGCTGTGACTTCGGGCAGACTCCTGCCTCTTTTGAGCGTCGTCTGCACAAACGAACCGACGTTCCGACGTTCACAGAGGTGAGTGTGGACGTCTCGCCACAATCTCGGAACGATGCGATGATAACCAGTGTAAATTGAAGGAATATTCTTGCTTTATCCCGCTGGGCGTCCGTCGTTGCCGCTGCTGAGCCTCAACCTATGTCCTTGGGCGCCGCCTTCAGGGCACGAGTCACCGATTGCTTGACTCGCGCTCGTCGAAAATAGGCATGACGGTTCCGAGGATGTCCTTGCTGCTGTTGCATGCTGCAGTCGGGTCACGTCCCGGTATAAGAACGATCCCCGACGCTTCGAAATCCTAGGATCCTACAAGGATCTCATCTCTGCTCTCGATCCTGCACTGTTCGGTGTCGTCCAACTACCTCAACTACTTGACAGGACTTCGCTTGCCCACCATGGACGCCGTCGCTATCATGCAGACCGTCCAGACTATCCTGTCGGCTGTTCAGTCCGGTTCGACAAACCTGAACATTTCCGAGGTTATCGCAGCGACCAACGCCACTCTTCCATCGTCAGCTGAGGGACCTCCCTCCTTCTCCCCATTTCAGCTTGTTCACCAGCTGCTCACGGTCTCAGCCGTCCGTGACTGGTTGAAACTCCTCCTAGTCGGTAGTATCCTCGAGGTGTGCCGCCGATTCCTATGGCGCTCCTGGGAATCAATCATGAACTACTTCTGGATTACCGTCACTCTCGACGAGGGCGATGATGCCGGATGTGAGATTCCATCCTTTGCAAAGGCTAATCCCGCATGCTGAACGTCGGTTCCGTAGACTGGCTCATGTTCTGGCTATCAAAGCACCGTGTGTTCCGTGAGCGCTGCCTTCCCCCGCATTCATTAATCTCGTGCGCAGCTAAGCTCTTGATCCCCAGGCACCGCCCGGACCCTTGATGTCAGCACGCGGACTTTCGGGATCGACTCGCCTGTCGTCTCAGACACCAGGGACATGGACGACATCTCGAAGGGCCGTCGGATCTCGTTCCTGCCATCACTGGACACGACGTACGCTCTTTGGTACAAGTATCGGTACCTCACCGTAACCCGGAGTCAGACAACCGACAGTCCGTGGCATAAGACGACAAACCTCCAGATCCGGTATGTCGGGAACCACCTGAACATAGCGTCAATTCTTACACTGCTTGCTACACAGGATGCTCACTCGTAACCATGAACTGCTTCGCGATTTGCTTCTTGAGGCGAAGAAGATGTACTACAATGCGAGCGAGAACCTGATCTCCATCTATGTCTCCGACTCGTAAGTTTATCGCTGCATCGTCCTATGGCATCCGTCTGATAGTCAATGCGTAGCTCGGACTACTGGAAGTTAATGTCTACGCAACACAAGCGTCCCATGAAGTCGATCATTCTCGATCCCGGTGTTATCGAGCTGGTCTTGAACGATGCGAAGGACTTTCTCGCGAGCAAGGAGTGGTATGCTGAGCGAGGCATCCCCCATCGTCGCGGCTACCTCCTCTACGGCGCCCCTGGCGCTGGGAAGACCTCGTTGATCCACACCATAGCCGGCGAACTCAACCTCGACGTCTACATCCTCTCCCTCACTCGCATGGGTATGGACGACGCTTCTCTCAACGCCACGATCGCAGAGCTCCCCAGCCAGTGCATCGTGCTCATCGAGGACATCGACGCGGCCTTCCATCAGGGTATTAAGCGTGATATCGTTGATCCCGAAAGGCAGCGTCCCGAAGATCAAGAGCAAGATCCTCAAAAGAGTGAGAAGGAAAAGACTACCGACTCAGCATGCCGCGTCACCCTCAGCGGGCTTCTCAATGCCCTTGATGGCATCGGGGCGCAGGAGGGTCGTATCTTCTTCGCGACTACGAACGACCACAAGGCGCTCGACCCTGCTCTCTGCCGCCCCGGTCGCCTCGATCTCCACATCGAGTTCAAGCTGGCTAGCAAGTACCAATGCCGCGAGCTCTTCAGGCGCTTCTACCTCCCTTCTAGCGCGGATGACGACAAGATGGACGAAAACGAGGAGGACGTCGACGAGAAGGACTCCGGGTACGGCTCGCGCTCAGAGAGCGTCAAGGGTGACAACGAACCCGCTTCGAGTTCTCCTACTTCCACGCCCTCCCCGTCTCGAGCAGATGCCGACTCCGATTCGTTGGCAACATACACCGGTCTGACACACTCCGCCCGTGCCCCCAAGCTCTCGCGCAAGCAGGCGGCAGAGCTCGCGGACCGGTTCGCAGCGGCGATCTCTAACCGCGCATTCTCGATGGCGACGCTGCAGGGCTACTTGATGACCTACAAGACCCGGCCGTACGATGCTGTCGATGACGTTCCTGCTTGGATTAAAAAGAAGCAGCTGGAGAATAAGGTTGGAGCACGCTCTGACGCGCCCGCGATCAAGTCGGAGGCGTCTCCCTCTCCTGCTCCCTCAGCAGCTTCCTCTGCACAGGTGGAGGAGCATGAGACTGCCCAGGAACATTGCTCCACATCAAATTTGCCTGCATCATGATCTACCATCGCTGATTTGCAGGGTTGGGGAGAACCTCATCTGGGCTTAAGCCGCGCGGGCTCTAGATGTGAGGCTCGTAGCCCAACGGTTTTGTCTGCTATGACGCTTGTGGCTTTATTGTCCGTTTATTGACGACGTGCACTTATCGCATTCTGTCTCTTGATGTCTCTGGGAAATGTATCATAGTAGCGTTATTATCCTATCAAAGATCAACTTCTCTTCGACTGTTACTGAGATAATCGGGGTACTCATGGGCTGGGTGCGGACAACTGTCCAGCTGTATCAGAACCCGCATCGGCCAGGCCTCCGTTCCAACGAGGGCTCCTACTGTTGCGGCTTTGTGCGAAGGGCCTTGCACAAGGACAGGTATGTCACGTGTTGACCCCTTGAGAAGGTTTGACTGAGATTCCCGCAAACCTTGGGATTCGGGTATATTTGACAGAGCCCAGGGCGAACTTTCTTGGGCTGAATGATGTTCGCTCGAGATACAGACGCGAGTATTCTGAGTGAAGCGGAGCGTGCGGATATATGCTTCGAGCCAGTGTATATCAAAATTTACTAGTACGGTGGTACCCTGGATACCCTGTGAGATAAACATACCATGTATCGCGCGGACATACCGCGGTGAAGAGGGAGGACCTCAAACACTACCTTCCATGACAGCCTCAGTTTCGTGGCCCAGGCTCTGTCAAACATACCCTATTGAGACAAAAGGGTGTCCCTCATCCCGATTCGGATTTCTAGAAAAATGAGAACCCTCAGCGGTTGAGTCGGCCCAGGTTCGAACTGAGGACCTTCTGTGTGTTAGACAGATGCGATAACCAACTACGCCACCGACCCTGTCCATGAGTAAGCCTAAAGGATATTGTAACAATGTGTCTCCATCAGCTCTCCACATCGTGAAGTCCAGACTGAGTCAGACTCCTTGAGGTGATACTACCTAGTGCTGATGGGTCCAGTCCTAGGACCGCTGAAGACTGGTCTTGTGACCGGGCCAGGACCTATGGTGACAGGACCAGGACCGCCTGCGTAGCGGTCCTGTCCATAGTCCCAGTTCCGGTCCTGGTGAAGTTACACCTTTGTGAGGACCAGGTAGGACCGGTCATAACCGGTCCAGGACCACCCGAAAAGACCGTAGAGGACTAATAGGAACCGGTCTTCTGGGGGTAGGCTCGTCCCCTGCTGAGATCCGGTGTTAGCGATCCTCGTCAAACGCCAGAACGGCTGGGCAAATTGGGCGCCGTTTTGGCAGGGCACCCCGATTTGGTACCCCGTGAGAGAAAGGACTAACTGATATCGCACTTCACTCGTTAACAGATTTTGCAACGACAGATCCTTCCACCCTCGTAGTCCCACATGAAGTAGAAAATATATTGAGAGATGAATGTAGTAGTCATTTTATGAGTGATTCACCTCCCCTCAAACGACTTGAGACTCTATATTCCGCTTTTTGAGCATCAATGGGCTGATCTGTGCCCAAAAACAGCAACTGAAGTGTTGTGTCGTGAGAGACAGACATGCAACTTACATAGTAGCCTCCTAAAGCAGCAGGGAGTCTGAATTTCCGCCCTGATAGGTGAATGGATCAGATCTACGCTCCCTTGGACACTATGGGGGTTCGTCTATGTAGAGCACCCCTGGTGTATGGGCTGCGTGCTGCCTGGAGGAGGATATAACATCCATAGTATGCCTAGATTCACATTGTAAACATGTTACTCAGCCACCACCATCCTAGAATGCACAATGAGCGTACCAAACCGTCACCCTCTAGTCGGAGGAGGTGCCGGGAGCATGCTCATCAAACCAGATGGCAGCCATGAATCGGCATCATGAGCTTCTAAAACTGTCTATCATTCACCGATCAAGCGGTCAGAATAGATGCCACAAGTTAAAGACGTGAAGCAACAACCAAACATGTACGACGCACCTTGAAGTATGAAGGAAACCTGGGAGGAGCAGAACTGCATACTCATCATGCTCACTCTTCCATAGAGACCTACAAGACCATCAAGACTATAACTAAGTGCATAAGGAACCGAGAAATGGATTATAGAAAGGTTACTCTTTATGGTTTCCCACATGCATGCATTTTCTGTGCGCGAGCACCTCACGATTTCTTCAAGTATGTTCTCTCACAGGGTACCAAATATGGGCACCCTGCCAGGAGGATGCCCAGTTTGATTAGCCGTTTCAGTGTTCGGCGTAAGCCACCATCACCGAATCTTGGCAGGGGATGAGCCTTAAAACCAGCATTGCATATCCCGCGCTGAGATGTGTGCTCGGATCAGCGGCAGCCCCATGCCGAGCCCTGCTAGCCTGCCCTCCGGCCACCTCCTAGCTCGGGGACACGCTCGTTTGTGACTGCCACTGATTGCTCGAAATGCGCTCCAGTGAGCTATGCGCCTTATTGAGCTACAGAATAGTCTATGTATTACCTGTGATGTTGCTAACACAGATGCCTGCTATGTTTAGGTACTTCCAGCGGGGGCAATATTTAATGGCCCTGGTGCGGCACAGCACTAGGGTTAGGGCTCTGCCGAGAGTTTCCAATGATTTGAGCCCTCCGCCCGGCGTGAGGTGGGTGATGTGGTTAAGACTGGTCCTATAACCGGTCAAGAATGGTCATGACCGCAAAGGACCGCAAACCAGTCTTGACCGGTTATGGGACCAGGGTCTGGTCCTGTCTCACGAGGACCGTTTACGCAGTCCGGTCCTCCCCAAATAAGTACGGTCCCGTCTGGTCATGGTCCTGGTCCCCTCACCTGGGGGTCTGAAAACCGCACTTGACCGGACCCTGCAGCACTAACGCTACCGCTGTGCGAGTAGACTTTTGGAACCTGTGCTTCATCTGTTGATGGTGATGAGTTTGGCAGACTGCCCTGCATATGTTTCACACTGACGTGAATTGTTCTTGGTAGGAGTTCCCTGTCACGGACGCTGGACAGATGCCCCTTTTTGCCGCCCATTCCCCCCCCTTTTGACGCCCACCTTCCATTTTCGGACCATTTCCTTTCTTAGCCCATCCCAGTTTGGACACTGTAGATACGTTCCCACTGCCACATGCTCCGTTCCCGTGATCACCATGCTCTTGCCTTTTCTTTCTCGCCCTTTGTTCTTCCTTTGTCATCTTCACTGCCTCGCTCTCGCGCTTTGTCTTTGGTTGCTAAGCAGCCCCTCGAGTAGATAAGGACCCCCTTAGGCGCTCCCTAGTCCCCATCTCG